TTTTACACGTAAATTTTTTACTTTTAATCGTGTAGACCACTTTACCAATCCTTTTCTGGATTATGCCATCCATCCAATAGCTTTTCCATTTTTAAAATTAAAAAAAAAAAAACTGTCTCCTGAAGTGTATTTTTTTATGTTGACTTTTTCCTCCTTAGCAACTTTTGTTTTGATAGGGTAACAATCTATCGAAAATTGATCTAATTTTCCTTGCGGACATAATTTCCGCCGGTGACATTTTCGCATCGTTGTTCTCATTAGGAGTTACCCTATAGATTGCTAAGAACTTCTGAATAGTTCTTTCTTCCGTGTCCATACCTTTATTTTTACGTAAAGCACGTTTAAAGGTGTCAACAAATTTTTCGGCTTGACCGTTCGACCTGGGATGACACAATGGTGTAGTTATGTGTTCAATGTCTAAGGCAGTACAGAAATCCTTAAACTCCATACTTGTGAACGCCGTACCATTGTCGCTCACCAATGTCCTGGGAACCCCGAAACGACTGAAAATTTCATCCAATGCACTGATGGTGTTCCTAGATGTAGGATGCTTGCACTTGACTACCTCAGGCCATTTCGATAAAGCGTCCACCAATATCAAATAATAGTACCCATTAATTGGTCCAGCATAGTCTATATGTAGACGTGCCCACGGCAAATCCGTTTTCGACCAAGGATTCATTTTGACCGGAGGTGCCCTTGCAGCCAATTGACAACCTCTACATAGTCTTACAAAACCTTTAATATCCTTGTCCATTCCTGGCCAGTATACGTGACCACGCATGAGTGATTTCATCCGAGACATTCCAGGCTGACCGGTATGAAATTCTTTCAGCATATCTGTACGTAGAGATTGAGGTATAACAATTCTATCTGCGTACATCAACGTGTTGTCGCAAATTGAAAAAGGTGAAAACCGAGTTCCCTTTTTCTGTCTTTTGTTCCATCTCGTCTGGTTCCTTAATTTCACAATATAGTGATCTTTTTCCGCTTTTTTATTTGGTCCAAAGTTACCGGTAATTCCCTGATTGTATTCAACAAGAGACCTGATATTTCTTTTTCCTCAGTTAATGTTGCTATAACCGTCTCTTCTAACAGTTCTTCATTTTTTGGAATCAGCCTTGACAATCCATCCGCATGCCCATGTTGTTTAGATTTGACGTATTCCATCCTAAAATGGTAATTAAGCAGGGTTACACCCCATCGCTGTAAGCGATTAGCTGTATGCGTAGGAATGCCTTTTTTACCTCCAAATATTGTAAGTAACGGTTTATGGTCCGTTTGAAGTACCAATGATCTACCATGTAAAAAGCGATGGTATTTTTTAACCCCGAACACAATCTTTCTCGATCTGGCTATAATTTTTTTTCAGCCGGAAGAAGTCCTCGACGCGTGCGCGATCGGTTTAGTAGTGCCATCTTCATATTTGTGTAGCAGTGCAGCACCCACTCCGTACAAACTTGCGTCAGTTGCCAGAATGATCTTTCTCAGGATCATAATGTGCTAAGGCGAGATCTGAGAGTAGGCATTTTTTTATTTTCTGAAAAGCCGTCTCGCAATCTTTTGACCAAAACCATTTCTTGTCTTTTTTCAACAATTCGTTAAGGGGGGCTCTTAAATCATACATTTTAGGTATGTAGATTGCATAATATTGTGCCAACTCCAGAAACGATTGTAGTTTCGCAACTGTGTCGGGTGCAGGCATGTTCCTAATTGCATCGGCTCTCTGTGGGTCCGGTTTCCTGCCTTCACTGTCTATTACCTGTCCGAGGTATGTAATTCTTTCCATGAAGAATTTACACTTCTCGTGGCTTAATTTAAAGCCAAAATCTTCTAGTCTTTTCAATATCGCTCTGATGTGCGTTTTATGTTCTTGAACATTCTTACTTTTGACTAGAATGTCATCTAAATAGGCGGTACCAAACTCAAGGCCTGCCAGCATAGTGTCCATCACCTGTTGAAACAAAGCTGGGGCGACCTTTAAGCCGAAAGGAAGCCTATTTAGCTTATAAATACCTTATAATAATATATTTTGAGCATTCGTCACTCACTTTAATCTGCAAGTATGCGTCAGACAGGTCGATTTTTGAAAAAATCTTCCCACCATTCAATTTTGAAAAAATATCTTCTGGTGAAGGTAGTGGATAACTGATTTTTAAGGCAATCATTTAACCCTGTTGAAAAATCTGCGCACACTCTTATTTTTCCGTTTTTCTTAACATAAACTGTGGGCGAGGCCCAATCCGCATGGTCAACCTTAGATATCACTCCCATTTTTCAAGCCTTTCCAATTCCTTATTAATTGTGTCTAAGGAGGAAAAAGGAATGTTTCTCTTAGGTTTAAAAATTGGTTTCACATTTTCCTTGAGTTCAAATTTGACTTCCGTCTTAGTACATAAACCCAATCCCTCAGAAAAGACTCTGGGATATTCTTTTAATTCATTCATGAATTTTTCATTTTAATACTTTTTGTTTTTCTGCACTGTTTATTACGTTTTGCAAAATGAGTTAATCGGGAGTTCAAACAAATCAAAAGTACTATCCAGTCTATTCCAAAAAGACATGAATTAATCCCTTGGATTACATACACTTTCGTTTTTGCAGTCTTGCCACATAACGAAATATCGCACTTTAATTCTCCCTTAAAGTTTAATTTCTTTCCTGAAACCCCTCTAGCGGTTTTTTTGGTTTCAGATAATTTGGGTCTTCCAATATTTTTCCATGTTTGTTCATCAATGATGCTTATGTCTGAACCAGAATCCAATAGGAAAGTAATTGTATGATTATTTATACGTACATCTACGTATCTCTATTTTTACCGTTCTGAATTTCTTTTTCTGATAATACCAGGTTTACATCTTGTAATTTCCTTTTCTTGCGGCAAACCGAATATTTATGCCCTTTATTTCCGCACGATTGACAGAATTTGTTTTTGTAGCAACACACGTCTTTGGTATGATTTTTATTTCCGCACGATTGGCAGAATTTATTTTTGTACCAACACGTGTCTTTGGTATGGTTATTTTTTCCACACATTTTTCTATCTTTTTGGCTTTTGGAGTTTGAGTTTTTACGTGTCGAACATTAGCAACACTTTTCTCCTCAATTTGTGCATTATCCCTTTTTACGTTTATGAGACGTTGGCATTCTTCGGTCACCCTTTGTAATGTTATTTTCGAGTCTTGCTCGACCATTATTAATATTCTCGACCTAATTTCTTTATATTTAGGATCAGTTAGTCCTTGAAGAAAAATTAGGCACTTGAATTGTTCAACCAGAGAGTTCACTGTTCCCGCATATGTCACAAAATCCTCGTTATCTGCTTTAACGATGTTTAGGCATCTGTATCGCGTGTGGAACAGACTATTCCTTTTGTCAAATATTTTTGACAGAATACTTAGTTTCTTCAAACGAAACTTCTTCTGGCTTTCTGGGCAATATCAAGTTTGAGTACTTCGTATTCTCGTTTGTCCCTAGTTTCTGGACTAATAATGTTACTCGTTCCTCATCCGACCAATGTTGACATCTCTTGGTAAATATAGTTTCGAAACGTTTAAAGTATGCTGGAAATGTAATGCCCGAATCAGGTTCATATATAAATTCGGATAATGAATTTGCTATTCCTTCGGCAGAAAAAACAGCATTTTTTCTTTCTCCAGTCGCCTGTTTCAGAATTTTTTAGACTTTTTTGCTGTTGCAGTATTTGTTGTTGTAAGTCTTGATGCTGTTGTTGTAACTCTTGATGTTGTTGTTGTTGCAAGCTTGTACACAGCATTTTAGTCATTTCGACTATTTGCTCCATCCTGACTTCATTTAGAATTCGACAAAAAAAAAAATTTTTTTTTTTTTTTTTTTAGACGGTTAACGGACAATTTACAGCCGTAATATTTTTTACAACCCGTAATTTTACTTGAATAATCAATTATTAGACCGGCTCGCATTTGAGTCGCGGTTCAATATATATTTTTCAAATCACAATTTAACAGTAAAAATTTTCTTACTTTTCAAAAAGTTTCCTTTTGACTTGTGACTCCGCTTTCGAAATCCTACTCGGCGTCAACTGATATCTTTGATTTGCGAATCTGCTTCCGAAATCCGTTCAGCGTAATCTGATATATATATATATATATATATATATATACACACACTTTTTTTTTTTTTCAGGTAAGTACGTTGCACAATCCTCGCCGCCAGCTGTTATATCTCGTGCAAGATATAATAAACAAAGTAACACGAGTGTTATGTTTCAATTATAGGTTTATAATCGGATGTAGGTGTGTCAAATACAGAGACAGTCGGGAGTATGCTAACCTCAATAGGTGTTAACAAACGAAGACCTCTTGACTGTCCGCTGTGGTCGTACTTAATCGGCAACCAGTCCGTCCATTATCGTGAATGGGGAAGTTGGGTTATATCATCACAACACTGGTATTTTACAAGTTCTAATAAAATACATTTGAAATCCTCCATGATAAGTGTGTCTTTTACAAAAACACTCGATTTTCCTTATTTTGAGAGAGTTCCTTTTAAACACGGTGGTCCACGCAAAATCCTTGTCTTCGTCACCAAGTTCTTGTGGACACTGACAACGTCAATTTTTTTTTTTTTAAGTCCCCGTGAAGTGCGAATCCTCGTCACCAAGTTGTTGTGGCCTGTTTAGGGGCCAGAAAGAAAGACACAGAAGACGAAGGTTGGTTGAAAAAGTATATTGAATATATATACAAAACAATAGTGATAGTAATAAGTAGATTAGCACTGCGTCTACTACTCCACTCCACTTAACACTCTGCGCTCCCGTCCGACTCTCACAGTTTGTATTTATGAGAGAAGGAAGAGTTCCTTAAGAGGGTTTACCACAACAGTATCATTAATGGGTACACTTATCTTTGCAGGTGATGTAGCATGAATGCGTATATTTATTTTTGCAGGTGATGTAGTTTTAAAAGGTACGTTTATTTTTGCAGGTAATGTATCATTAATAGGTACATTTACTTTTGCAGGTGATGTAGCCATTGTAAACTTAGGAATGAATGAAGAAGAATATATGCACATGTGCACTGAGGTTGACTTCATCATCCATGCGGCTGCATCTGTTAATCTGGCCTACCCGTACATTGTGAGTTCACTAAAATTTCAATCATTCTTTCATGACTATATCAAAATTAGAAATAAATTCTGTTTTCTCTTGGAAGAAGGTAAATGGCTCTAAAGAAAATTATTTGGATAAACTGGAGAGAACACAGGGACCATGACACAGAAACGTTTTTTTTAAAAATTAAATTACCATTTTTCTATTACAAGAATGGTTTCTTACAATATTAAGTGCACAAATGGGAGATTAATTTAACTGTGTCATATTTTTAATGAGTATTATTTGAAATTTACATTAGAGATATTTCTCATTAGAAGCAAAAGTTTCAATGTGAATATTAGTAACTGAAAATGCTTGTCCTCCAGTAAAGAAATATAATTCTTCTGTTCAGATTTGTACAAATGCATGCTGAGCAATTCATTAAGTTACAAGAATAGCTTACTTTAGATATACTCTCTTATTTTAAATATACTTTTTAATTATAGAATGCAATTCTATGCAAGACATCCTAACTTTGTTCTGGTTTATTTTATTTTATTTTTTAATTGATATCATCCCATGTAAGTCAGTAAAGTCACTAATACACAAAGGATTACTGGGTGCAGAAGAATTAGGAACAGAAACATTAATAATGAGCAGGGAGAGAAAAGAGTAATCAAGAAGACAGCAGATAGCAATTGACACTGCATTTAAATTTTTGCACATTAAAACTGGCTGGAAAGCATGGAACCGGAAGTCCAGTACTATGTTTACATTCAAAGAGACTAGGCACCACAGCAAAGATTTCATCTGAACAATTAACATGAAAGTATTAATAGAAAAGATATAGAGAGGCAAACTTGTGGCAGTGAGAAAGTGACTGAAGCTGTGCTACTAGATTAGGACCAATAATATATAATAATATCATAACTTATTAAAGCGTTCATTTGTGCATGAAGGTTACAAATCAATTTTAATGTCAATGACATTTAAATGAAATTCTCTGCTGAAAACAGGAAAAATTTATATTTTTTAATCATAATCTCCTAGCTGAAGAAAATTCATCTCGTGCAATTCACAATGTTATATGTCCAAATGAAAAAAAATGATATGGTTTAATTCAGTGTAAGATTCAGATTTTCATACATCTCTCTGATACAAAGATATATCTCTTATTATCATACAATTATTTGTATAATAATAAGAGATATATCTTTTTAGGGGAGAAATGTGTGGAAATGGGAATCCCAGTTTCAAAACAAAATACAACTTTTAAAACAAGTAAAATGAAACAAAAATTTATTAAATAAAATTAATCCACTTAAGAAACTACACATGGTCGGCTTATTAAATGTTAGGTTGGTGCAAAAGAAATATCCAATTTTTAAGAAGAAAGTTTTAGATAGTAGTTATGAAATTTGTGCTTCTCGTTAAAGTTAAGGAATGTCACAATAAGTAATTTATACCTTTCTCTTTCAGATTATAAAAATATTTTTCATGATCTTCTGCAATATTCACACACATGTTGGTACCACCTAAAGATCACATTTGACATGTCTTACTGTATGATTTTCAGTGTCAATGCAAGTGCAGCAGCAAAGACTGTTCAGAGCACTCATGCTGATGATGAAAGAAGTTGCAGGAGGTGTAGCTTTCAGTTTCTGAAGTGGGGATTTCAATATGAAAGACTAGCAAAAAGAGGGGCATCCAAAAAACTTGATGCCAAAGAGTTGGAAGCTATTGTCACAGACAATCCTACCATTACCTTTAGAGAACTTGCAGAACAATTTAATGTTGACAATACAACCATGCTATTAAAAAGAATTGGAATGTTTTCAGTGTTTGGGAAATAGGTTCCATACAAACTGACTCCAGAGAATCTGCCACAGCATGTTGCTTGTTGTGAATCATTGCTTTCACAACACCTTCAGGCACCATTTTTAGATAGGCTTGTTACAGGTGATGAGAAGTGGATCCTTTACCATAATGTTAAATGCTGCCGATCGTGGATCAGTTGAGGAGGAAGATCAGTTCAACAACCAAGAGGAGGACATCATTCAAAGGAGATCATGTTGAGTGTATGGTGGGATACTAAAGGAATTGTCCATTACAAAATGTTAAACAACAATCAAACATTTGCAACTAATCTGTACTGTGATCAACTTCATTGTTTAAAAACAGCTTTGAACCAAATGCAATCTTCCTTAGTGAACAGAAAGGGTGTCATCATTCATCATGATAATGCTTGTCCTCACTAAAAATCTTTTGGAAGAGCTTGGTTGGGAAATAATTTTTCATCCACCACATTCTCCTGACCTTGCTCATTTTGATTATTACTTGTTTTGGGGACTACACAATCATTTGGATTGTCTTAGGTTGACATCAAGAGAAGAGGTTGAAAATGGGTTGGATTCATATTTTGCTTCAAAATTAAAGAATTTTACAGGCATGGCATTTATAAGCTTGTTGACAGCTGGAATGATGTTTTAGAAAGCAAAGGATGTTATGTTATTGAATGAATATTTTTATAATCATGGGCTTTTTCATTTTTAATATGGACCTTGAAAACGGATATTACTTTTGCACCAACCTGATACCTGCACACATAGTGAATTTGCTACTAAATTCAAAGTATTCGACTGTGTTTAGATATAACAGTTTTAATAAAAATATTAGACACCCTAGAACAGTTAGGCAACCTTTTTGAGAGTGCATGCCAAAACCAGCCAAATCTCTGACAAAACATTTTTCCACATACCAACAAAATTTTTTTGAGAAGAAATTATTTGATATCTCTTAAGTATGTTGTTATGTCATGCATATTGCTAAGTAAGCATTCTACTTCCGTTCTAGTTGTTGTCCATTTATATTATGAGCTACCTGCTCATATGCAAATCATACTAATTTGCATCTCACTACATCTCCCTATAACGGAGGGGCCTTATGCCGCGAGTACTTGTACTTCTTCTTGTGCCCTCCTGAACATCTTCCTTTATCTCTCTCCTTTTCCTTGGAGATCTAGATCTATCACGTCTTTCCTTATAATCGAACTGTTCCTCTTGCATACTGTTCTTCCTCTTCTAACTTGTCCCATTCTACTTCTTCCTCCTCTAACTCATCCCTCTCTACTTCTTCCTCCGCAGTTTCATTCTGCATTAACTCTTCTGTTACGTCAATAATGGGCATCTCTGAAGGCATTTCCTCATCCGATTCTTCTCCTTGGGATCTTATTTGGTCAGCATGAGCTAGAATACTGTTCCCATTTTCTTTATTTAATATTGCAGTATTATGTCCTTTCTGCATAATAAATTCGGCTGACTCGGGTTGCATATTCCTGTTTCTTTTGTACCACATCTTTTGATTTGTGGCATATGACATAGTCAAAGGGGACCTTAATTGTCTGCCCATTAAGGCAGATGGACTTTCCGGCCTACCTGCATGTGGAATTGTTCTATAACTTAATAGTAGTCTTGGTAGAAAAGTATCGACTTCCTCCTTCTGTTGCAAGCATGCTTTTATGCCCTTCTTTACCGTCTGGACCATCCTTTCCGCTGTCCCATTACTTTGAGGGTGGTAGGGAGGGGTCTTGTAAGGTCTGCATCCTATTTTTCTTAGCCATTCATGCAAATCAGCATCCACAAATTCTGGTGCGTTATCAGTCACCAATGTTCTCGGTGTCCCATTCCTCGAAAATATTACTCTTAATATTTGTTTTACGGTGGTACTTTTTTTTATCAGGTACTCTCACCACTTCAGGCCAACCTGAATATGCGTCTACTAATATTAATAATAGTCCTATCCCATTGACATAGGCATGGTCCATGTGTACTCTGCTCCATGGTTCTACTTCTCGGGGCCATACATGTATTTTCTTTTGCTTAAAATTCCTAAGTTCTGTGCATTTTTTGCATCTTCTTACGTAGTCTTCTACGTCTCTTGAGTACCCCGGCCACCAAGCTTCCAATTTTAATCTTCTTTGCGTAGCTGCCACTCCACAATGTACATCATCGTGTACACTTTTTATAATCTGTCTCCTCTGTGTTTCTGGGGGAACTACCAAGTCTCCCTTACATATTATCCCGTATTCTATAGTCATTCTATGTCTAATTTCTTTGAATGGTCTTTCAGCCATTGAACAATTTCCCCAGCGATTCTGTTTTATCCTCGACATTATTCTATTTAACACTGGGTCATTTGTAGTTTCAGTAGCCATTTTATCTACAGATATTACATCGGTTTCTACGAGGTGCAAGAATGTGTCTTCAAATTCCTCGTCGTTTTTGTCCTTCTCTTCTCTATAAAACCTCAATCTAGATAAGGCATCAACGTGCGGTATCGTATTCCCTTTAACATATTCAATGTCAAAGTCGAACGCCATCAGTCTAATCGCCCAACGTAATATCCTGGACGTTGTAACTTTCGGTAGCTCTTTTCTTGGGTTGAAAATAAATTCCAGTGGTCTGTGATCACTTTTCAACAATAATTTTTTTCCCATCAAAAACTGTCTTGCTCTATGCGTTGTCCACACTATGGCTAGTGCCTCCCTTTCTATATTCGAATAATTGTGTTCAGTTGTTAATCTCCTCGATAAGTACATTATGGGATGTCCATCTTGTGACAAAATACCAGATATGGACTGCTCACTAGCGTCAGTAGTTAGTTATGTCCTTCTTCGGGTCAAAAATTTGTACTATTGACTTTTTTGCCAGAATCTGTTTTAAGTTTTCAAAGGCTTTCTGTTGGTGTTCTAACCAAATGAATTCCACATTTTTTTTTCTTAACTTAGCAAATGGTTCTGTCAACTCATTATATTTTGGTACATATTTTCTATAAAAATTTACCAAACCTAAGAAGGACTCCAACTCTTTTTTATTTTTCGGTGTAGCAACTTTTAGAATTTTCTCTATTAATACTTTATCTGGAGAGATCCCTTCCTTTGATATTGAGTAACCCAAAAATGATATTTCATTACTGTTGGTTACACACTTTTTTGTATTTATTGTCATACCAGCGTCTCTTAGCCGGTTCAATATATTTTCAGTTTTTTTCTTTAAGTCATCTTCATTTAAATCTCCAACACATTTTCAACATTTCCTATTACTTTTTCAATAGCTTTTTGAAAAATTGCACTTGCCGTTTTTATGCCATACGGCATTCTTTTCCACCTTAACAGGCCTATAGGTGTGTTTATGGTCGTCACTTCTTTAAAATTTTCATTTATCGGTACTTGGTGGTAAGCTGATTTTAGGTCTATCTTCGAAAATACTTTCATTTCAGCAAGTTTATGTAAAGCTACTTCCACATTCGGAATAGGGTACGAGTCAGCACAAACTTTATGGTTCACCCCTATTTTATAATCTCCACAAATTCTCAGGTCACCATCTTTTTTTTTTTTCAATACCACAATGGGTGATGCCCATTTACTTCCTCCTGGAGGGGCAGGTTCTAATAAGTCTTCCTTTATTAGCTTTCGCAATTTAGCTATTACCAACGGTAATAAATGCACTGGTATTTTTCTCGCTTCGTAGTAGGAGGGGGAAACATCTTTAATTTCAGGCTAGCTTCATAATTTTTTAATTTTCCTGTTTTTTCTATTTCTATCTCATTAATCAACTTCGTTGAATTTATTTTTAACACATCATTCCCCAGTAGTCCATGCGTTTTTCGGCAATTTGTAACTATAATGGGTACTATTTCATATTTTTCTTTTAATTCTATTGAACCTTCAAAGTAACCCATAATTGCTATATTCGAGCCATCAAACTGACGTAGTTGTACGTTGGTTTTTTTTAAAAACGGTTTTCCCACAAATTTCTGGGTAATATCGTGACCTCACTACCTGTGTCGATTTGCATTTCGACAATACAGTAATTGATTTTCACTTTTATTTTTGTATCTCCGTTCTTAGATCCAGTATTTTGTATATTATCCTTTTTTACATTAAAAATCTGTCTATTTTCATCCTCTACTCTTTCCACATTTTTCGTTTTACTTCTTTGAAGTGATTTTTTTTTTAAACACTTTGAACACGTCTTTCCAAAGGCTGGGCATTTTTCTTTTTTTATTTCATGAATTTTTCCACAGTACGTACAATTTTTTCTTTTTGTTTGTACCGTATATGTTTCAGCCATTATTTCTTCGGATTTATTTTTTTATTTTGGTTGTAGGTATGTATTAATTCCTGCTGTTGTATAAATTCTATACACATATTCAAAGGAATGTTTGTAAGTTGTAACTGTTCCATTAACTTATATCTATGTGCTGAATTATGCATACCTTCAATTAATCTTAGTTGGATTAATTCTTCCGTTGTCTGCTCTCCTGTTCCTAGTTTTTCGAATTCACAGTATTTACTCGCACTTCTTAACCGGGGTAAATATTTTACTATCGGTTCATCCACTTCCTGCTTCATTGCCATAAGTTTGGTCCTTTCTGCAATCACCAGTCTTTTCTTTGGCCTCATGTTTCCCTTAATAACCTGACTTATTTCTTCGAAAGTCATTTCTTCTAGTTCTCGAGGGTAAACTGTAGAGGGCCGTGGCTGTTATGTTGGCGGTTACGGTTTGTTGAGAGAAGACAGACGTGGACGAAACGCCTGTAAGGTTCAGATTCTCCTGCTAGCCGGCCCAACTACATAAAAAGTTTGGACTTGGTTAAGTCCAAAGAAGAAGGAAAAGAAAGCAAACAAAACAAGACCGATAATATATGTATACACAACAAATATATATTCATAACAAGTTACAATACAAGAAAACAGTACAAAGGACAAAGTGTGTGGGAATATTCCGTGTGTGCGAGCGTGTGTGTATTGTGCTTAGCGTGATTTCACGCTATTTCTTGTTAGGGACTACATTTTGAGGTTGATAGTTGAAATCCTCTAGGAAGAAGAGAAATTTACCTCGGTGCGTTAGTGCACAAGCCTGAAAAGTAAAAAGAGAGATCGAAGCGAAGGGTCATTGGCTATTTATAGCCAGGAAAGAGAGACCTCTGGTGAAAGGGTTACAAACTGAAGGAGGAGGTAACTCCGACAAAACCATTGTAGCAACCTTCATAATCGCTTCACAACCAGCGGTAGCCATGAACAAGTCGGTGATTTCATTTTCCCCTCCTGTGTTTTTGTTGTCTTTCAACTTTTTACATCTGGCATTAGCAGCAAAGCAACGAATCTACGTACTCTGGGTCTTCAAGGACCAAATGAGTATCCTATCGACGACGCCATTGTTATGTCATGCATATTGCTAAGTAAGCATTCTACTTCCGTTCTAGTTGTTGTCCATTTATATTATGAGCTACCTGCTCATATGCAAATCATACTAATTTGCATATCACTACATATGTAAAGAGTAATTTTAAATGATAAAAAATCACCCCAGAGCAGTAAAGACATGGTATTGTAAGAAGTTATGTAAATCATGTAAAACTGACGACAAGTTTCTATGAAAAAGTTTTTTTTTGTATTTTTTATTAGCCTGTAAGAATAAATGTAACTTCCATACATACTCACACAATTTAAAGATGCTATTAACTATTATTAGCATCAACACAAAAGGTTAACAATGTTAATTTTCTCATTCAATCAGTCATCATTTTTTCCCCCAGTTATACATTTTTATGACTAAAATGCGGTAAAAAGCTATTAAAAATAATCTTTTGGTGAATTTAAATCCCTTATAAATAAAGTATAAAAAACAAAATATATTTATTTACCTTCAAAACTACATTTAAAAAGCCCTGAACTTTTGTCACTTTCAAAAGAAAACATCAGATAAAACTGGAGACAAAAAACTTGTTGACGCTTTTTATATTTTATCTGCTGCTGCATCACTGATGACAAAGATTGTATATATATATATATATATATATATATATATATATATATATATTAAGTAACCTTTAGAGATGTGCATGCACTACTAGTTTTATCTATCAGGCTACTCCTGTGATGAGACTTCACAATGTTCATCACTGAGAACAAAGATTCACAAGCATATGTAAGATGAATAGTAACGTTGTCGCAAGTTTTCTTAAACATACAAAATTTTCTGGAATGGTATTCCGTTCCCTAAATACTTAGTTTGCCACATTTCTCTCTGATACTCTCATCTCTAATTGCTCCTTTTCAATATTAACTGTTTTCCTACTCAAAGACAAATCTTTAATGTGGTGAATAATCTTTTCCTTTTATGAAAAATTGTCAAAAAGGAAAGACGCACGTCCTAACCAAACTTCTTTAATATACTCCCATCACTGAGTGACTTTCCATGTTGGAAACCTCAAAACTGGCAGCAACTAAGTTGGAACTGGGCCTACCTAAAATAAAGATCATAAAAGTATGGGTTGTTTTTTTGTCTTGCTCAGTTCGCAAAAAACTAATTCTTTGTTCCTCCTCAGTTTTATTACTTATATTGTTATAAACACTTTCAAAATGTCTCTTTACAGAAGAAAATCCTACAAATGATTGTTTCAGAACAGAAAATTCATAAGTCTTTATGGTCTTTCTTAATCATGCTAAATTTTTCAGTCCATTATTCTTTAAATTCTCTAATATCCTCTTTATTTGAATGACATTGTTTCTTAGCTGATCATGACATTTTGCAAAATCTGTAAAGGGCAGAAAATAAAAATACATGAGATAATGATATACATGAAAGAGATAGAATAAAAGTAAGTCAAACAGGGAATCTAATGAATAAGTTTTGCATCTCAGAAACAAGTGATCAGCGTGCCATGTTTGGCACGCGTGCCAAATGTTGCCTACCCTGCCCTAAAACATTCAATTTAAATGATTTTAATATATATTTTTCAATGATTTTAGGCTCTGCAAGGACCAAATGTTTTGGGAACACAAAATGTTGTTTTGTTTGCTTTTACTGGGAAAGTGAAACCACTTCATCATATAAGGTAAGGAAAAAATTATATTTTAATACTTATTGCAATGAACTAAAACTAATGTTGGCAACAAGGATTATTACTTTTCTGATTTTCTACAATTTAAATCAATTTGTATCTTTAATGTAAAGATGCAGTGGTTTATTTCAAGCTACAGTTCCATATTATCAATTGCATTTTGGGAGTAAGCAATTGGTTTAAATTAGAAGCAGTCCCAAAAAAGAAACTTCCCCTGTTCCAATGTTGGCATCACCAAACCTTTCTTGTGCTGATGTTCATTCAAAACACCCACCAACTGATTTTCACCAGTCCTCAAGTTAAATTGCTATCATTAAAATGAACATGTTTATTTATTGTATTTTTCTTGTTCTTTGATGTCATTGTTTTGTTTTTTTATCTATTCTAAATTTTATTTTTTCTTCTCTCCCTTCATTGTTTTAATTTTATTTGTATACTTATGCAAATAATATATATATATATATATATATATATATATATATATACTAGCAGCATCAGGGCCTGGCATTGCCTGTGCTTGATTCAAAAAATCATACAACTCATACAGCAATCGCTATCACTTGACTTAAAATATTTTGCCCTTCCTTTTTTTTAAAGGAGTGCCCTTTGCCGTGTTGATGTTGCTACATGCCTTACTTCTTGCCTATCTCACACTGCAAATTTTTTCTAAGCTCTAAACATTAAATCTGTTACGAAAAAAGAACTAAACAAAATGAACACAAAACGATCAGCTTTAAAAAAGGACTTGTAACTGGAAAAACTGACTGAAAAAAGAATGTTAACAACAAATACTTTTTCACACCCAACCCAGTTCTGCAGAATCAGAATCAACGTTGAGTTTAAGCAAGCGAATGAGCCAATTGGAGTAAAGTGCCATGCAGATTTAAATTTTTCCCACTTGTGATGAATGCAGCTATCAATTTTTTTTGCATGCTAGCATGCTAGTTAACATTCATGTCAGTCAACTGTTGGCCCTCAACGCTGGCCAATAGAATCTTCCTGCCTATTCATGGCAGCCAGCTATAGGCTCTCACTCTGGCCAGTACAAAATGGCCGCAAACTACATGAAAACTGCCGTAGAAGCATGAAGAAATCGATTATTTTCAATATCGATGGGAGTTGGGAAATGCAAAGTCAGTCTTGGCCTTCCCGCTAATTTGGAGCATGAGCATGTAAATTTTGGTGCAAATCCGTCAAATTGTGGCTGTGCATTCGTTACACATACACATCCTACCTTTTATAGATAGAGATATACATACATATATATATATATATATATATATATATATATATATATATGTATGCTTGTGAGTGCATGGACATGCCTGCACAAGTTGCTAATACATTATTTAGCAATTATACTTGATATTACATTTTATTGGGTGTCAATCCTTGGTGGGTAAGTGAGTGGGGAAAGTTTGGCTTGACAGCTTCCCAACAAAGTGGTTATTTGGACTTATACTAAATTAAAACTTGAAACTGAAAAAAATCAAACTTTTAATTCACTTCATTCGTCCATAAATATGTCATCTCAAGTGCCACTTGTTTGTGGTTGACTGGTTGTTCTTAGTATCTGGGAAGAACTCAAATTCTTTTGATAGAAGCTGAGAGAAAAGTAAGTTAAGAAAAGTAGTCCTTCAGCCCACCACCTCCATCTCCCATACCAAGTGAGATATAGTTGTATGCTTTTGGACATGGGAATCAGTAAAATTCATTATAAAGTTGCTTTAATTGCATCAAAGCACCATTGAAATGATGTCAGTCTACAGTCAAAAGTTCTATGGCTGTAAACTGACTCTACAAATTAGTTATCTGAATATTCATTTCTCGAAATAACTGGAAATCAGAACCAGGACTGTTTTATTTGCTTGTTTTTATGTATTTGTTTTTGTATTTTTGCATGTTTTTTTTTTTTTTTTTTTTAATAGGAGTAGATAGGCTTTCCTATCGCCTGGTTTATACACCTCCTTTTTCTCTTGAGCAGGAATAGAGTCTCATATCTTGTTTTCTGTTAGGAAGGGGTTCCTGGTTCCTTTCCTCAGTGGTGCTGTCATGAATTTTTTTGTGATGTGTCTGGATGGTAGCAACATTTTTTCATACTGAAGGTATTGGGTTGGTAGATTGCTGGTTACTGTTCCCAAGTGGAACTTACAGAACCAAACACTTGTGTAGGGTCTTGAGAGGTTGCTCTGATCAACAGTCACATAATATCAGGATTCTTGTAGTACCATGTGCATGGAAGGATGTCCCTGCAAGCTTCTCCGGTGGGCAACACTGAGGCTACATTATGTTGCAGGCTGTGCCAGTTCCCTTCCTGCACATGTTACATTAGATGACCAACTACTACTACTAGGCCTTTTCTTACCAAAATACACCATGACTACAAGATACCAAAGATATAAAATTAAAGCAGCTCAACAAAAATCATCTAAACCCCTCAACCTTTCTTTTGCTAACATTTGTGGTATTCATACCAACTTCTGCAGTGTGGAATCATTCCTCTTCGAAAAGTCTCCGAACATCCTAGCTTTCTGTGAAACTAATCTTACTTCTTCAACTGATTTCTCGAATCTTGGCTATCTTTCTCTCCTTAGGAAGGACTTTAAAATCTATATGCATGGCATGGGAGTTTGTCTGTGAACATCTGCTAGCTAGAGAATCACTTCTTCCAGCTGTACCAAAGTGATACGTCTGATTGCAACAGAAATCTTTGTCTCTGCTTGTAATGAGTGAAACTTGTGCTCAAAGAAGTGAAGTTACTATTTGCTGATAGAATGAAACAACATATAGCATCTCACAAGTTCATTTCTAAAGATTATTGGTGGCTCTGCAAGAGTGTACTGAACAACAGCAAGTCTTCAATCTCTTCTCTATTCAATCAATTCAAAGTTCTGACATCTACAGCAGATAAGGTTGAATGCTATGCTCAGAAATTTTCTTCCAGCTCAACACTTGACTCATTTGGAGTACCCACACCTGATTTCCTCCTAGAACAGAGGCTCTATTGAGTGATATGCACATAACCCCATCACTGGTCTCCAACATTATTTTTAAATTAGACTCCCATAAGGCAAGTGGAGGTGATGGGATCCTAGCCCTCATCCTAAAGAAATGTGCTCCTGATACTGCTTACTTCTCATGACCTAGTCTCTGACAAACAATATGGCTTCCGTTTTGCCAGGTCTACCACTGATGTACTGACATCCATCACTGAATATGTATATCAAGATCTTGATAATAACAGCAAAGCTTGAGCTGTGACTCTAGATATCTTGAAGGTAAACAGTGTTTGGCATGCTAGTCTTCTACGTAAGCTCCATGGCTATGTTATTACTGGATGATTGTTTGATTTAATCCAATAGTTCCTATCAAATTGTGAAATGAAGGTCATTTTGAATGGACTTGTTTCCAGATCCTTTCACATGAATGTGGGTATCCCCCATGGCTCTATCCTGGGTCCTACACTGTTTCTGATCTTCATCAATGATCTTCCTGATGTTATCAGTTCCCAAGTAGGTATTTATGCAGATGACTACCATTTACTCAATAAAATCCGTCAGAGCTGACAAAGTTAACCTGGCTGAAATTGAAAAAGACTTCCAATTTGTGGTTAATTGGGGCAGGAAATGGCTTGTAAATTTTAATGTCGCCTAAATGAAACTGCTGTCATTTAACCACCATAGAGAAACTTTCTGCCTGCCATCAGCATGGCTGATGTTAGACTCTTGGAGAGCAACACACTGCGCCTTCTTAGCCTCACGTTTTCAACTGGAATGACTACATCAAATCAATAGCTGCATCTACTGCAAAGAAAGTTGGGTCACTGTATTGTGCCAGAAGGCCTTTCTTGTCCATCTTGCACATTTACAAATCTACCATTCGTTCGTGCATTGAACATGGTTGCCATATCTGGTTAGATGCTTCTGCTACGAGGTTCTTGACAAAATCCAAAGAAGGATCTGCAATGTAATCAATCCTGACTTGGCATCTTGACTTCAGTCACTTTCTCACAGATGTGACGTGGATTCCCTCTGTCTTTTCTACAAATATTTTCATGGCTATTGCTCTGAAAAGATTTTTTCCCTCGCGTACAGGTTGTGAGTTTAAGTGTTCTATGAGATTGGCATCTAGGTCTCACCATTTTAGTGTTGAATTAATTAAATGTAACCACTACTTCTACTCCAACATTCTTTTCTTACACTTCTCGCTTGTGGACCTCCCTTCCATTTACTTGCTTTCCTGATAACTACATTCTTCAAGAATTTAAATGCAACATCAATTGCCATCTTCTATCATCTTGAACTCCATTCAGCTTTTATCCTTCCTTCAGTCCCTATACCCAGTCTTTTCTCTCACAAAAAATGCTCCAAAATATAAAAATGCTAATGTGTCTGCTGTTTCCATAAATTTGAGATGAAATGCTAGAAACTGATAGTTATCAATGATAATTTCTATGAGAAAGATATTTTCAGCACTGATGGTGTTTTCCCACATGGTCTTACCAACTGTGGTGAGGATGAGGACATCGCAGTCTATCATAATCAACTGACGGAAGGTTATTCCCAGTCAAAATGGGTAGCTGAGTTACTAGTTGAAAGAGCAAGAAAACGAGGTCTTCCAGCTGTTATATACAGATTGGGTAAGTTGCAACCAGTCTCATAATAACCCATTGGTATCTGGAAAATGACTTTTGTTATAATTCAAATTTTAAATTATATAGGAGACTAAAACCAATTTAAAAAGAAAGAAATAGCACATGTATAAAATTTTGCTTTGTAGAACCATTAATAAAACAAATTAATGCATTCTACCTGTAAGTATTATAGCAATGGATTTTAGTATTGAGGACTTTAATGGAGTCAAACATCTCAGTGTCCCAAAGATCTCTAATATTTCTGAATACATTTTACCAGTGAATATAAAAAGGAGCTAAAATATCCCTAAACAAATTACATTTTTTAATGTAATTTGTTTAGGGGTATTTTAGCTCTTTTTTTTTAACCTTGTGAGAAATAAAACAAACAGCACAGAAAATATTCAGCTTTAATGTAAAAATACTTTTAAAATAAAACAATGAATTCTTAGAGAAAAGGAAATTTGTCTTTGCTTTGATATTACATCAATAATTCTCCATTTTTATTGGGAAAATAAAATCACTCTAACCCCTTAAATTATTTTTTGCAGACAAAGCAAGTAGGTACTTAACAGGAGAGATCTAATGGCGTGTAGAACATTGGGGAGTACTGACTTTCCAGGTTATATCCACTCTGATAGAAGTACGTCTTTTCTGTCAAAAGAAATAAAGGCCTATCTATTAAATAAGGACATTGCCACAAGCAAGGCAACACCCTACCACCCCAATATTAATGAACAGGCAAAGAGATACAATGGTATCATCTGGAAAGCAATTAAACTTGCCCTTAAATCAAACAAACTGCATGATTGTTATTGAGTGTCAGTACTCCCCAACACCCTACACTTCATTAGATCTCTCCTGTCAACTGCAACCAGTTCCACCCAACTTGAATGGTTCTTTAGTTTCAAAAGATGCTCTTCTTTTGGTACTTCTCTGCCAACTTGGCTAACAAGCCCTGGACCAGTACTTGGTCAGATCTTCAGAAACAAGAATGATCCTCTGGTGGTTGGGGTTGAGCTGATAGATGCAAATCCATCCTATATTACGGATGAGAATCAACATTATCATTAAGGGATCTAGCACGATGTCCAGAGTATCAGAAGCAGAAAACACTGGTGTAATAAAGTAAACCTTTGAGGTCCCTTCAATGCTGAGAGAAAGAACTGATTGCATTGAAAATGAAGATACCAATAATGAACAGTTGTTATCTGAGTCAGATGACCTTGATGCACCCATCCCTTCATTAACTAAAGCTGACTGTCCAGTACTTCGTAGATCTTCCAGATTGGTAAAACTTCCCCAGTGTCTAGACTTGTAACCAAATAAAAATAGAATGAGAGAATGTAATACTAACAATTGATAGCCCTGATATTCCTTGGAACTCTCTTGAACTCTGACACACTCCCTGCATGCCATGAAGAAACAAAGGTGGGCTTTTTAAGTCACCAACAGTAGCCTGTAAGATTAGTTTATTAAGCTTCTTAAGTAGTAATAATTGTTGGTTATTTTCATTTGAGTTTACATGTAATTTTACCAGTTTGTTATATAACCTGATATGTATATATATTAAAATAATGAGAAAGAACAGTAAAATTTATAATCCGGTGTTCTTATTAATTATTTTTATTTTTAAAAAGCAGTGCTCAATATAATTTTGTAGAGCATAAACAAGTTGTCTATGAAAATGAATACCCTACCAACCCTTATCAAAATGAATGAATTTCTTGTAACCTTAGCAAATAATATCAAGAATGTATGTACTTATAAACTCAGTAAATTTCAAAATAAGTTATTGCTTAAAAAAAATTGCTTGAAAATGACTACTATGAATTTTAATTTAATTCTATAATTAAATTTAAAGTTTTATTTCTGTTTTTGAAACATGGTAATTCCTGTGTAGCGATGGGACCATATTTTTAATTTAGTAAATTTATAATGTAAACTGATATATATAGTTCTTTGTCAATAAGACTTCCTGTTAATCATTTTATTCCAAGGTAATCTTTCTGGAGACAGAGAAAATGTCAGTTGGAATCCACAAGATTTTACACTTTTGATGCTCCAAGCATGTGCAATGTATAAAGTGGCTCCAGAAGAAAACTGGAGTATGGAAATGACACCAGTTGATTTTACAGCAAATGTGATTGTAAGGATAACACAAGATTTGGCCCAGGCTGTGGGAAAAACTTTGCACTTGATCAATACAAAACCAGCAAAAAGCAAGTAAGTACAAGAAAAATGTTTGGTAAAATATATAAATTCTATCATCATTATCATCATCATCATGCCTTCTTTTATTACTAACAATTTGGGAGTTGAATTTTCAACCTATCAACAAGATTTTTATGCAATTAAAGTTTGATGGTTTTTGAAAGGCTTATTATAAATTACTTTACAAAAAATGCATACATAAATTTTATATACATAGACACATCAATAATTTCACAGCCTAATGATAAAAAGCATTTATTTTACACAGCAAATATTTATTTTTCAACATAATCATATTCTATTATTACTCTGTTGAAAATTAGACTGGAAATTGTTTTATTTTCTAAGTTAAAGAATTTTAATAGTATTGCACTAGTAAAAAATTTGCTATGATGTAATATTTTTGCTGTGTTATGGCAACAGACACCCAAATCACAGAAACTGTGTCATAATTATACACAAGGTATTTTCCATTCATTGTATCATTATTTATGTAGTATTTAGTAATTTTTTCATTTCTTTTACTCTATCCAGAATGGATAGTGGAAATTTAACTTACAATTTCAACATAAGCATTAATATAGCCACAGTATACTAATACTGTTTTCAAGGTTGAAAACAGACAAGGAAATGTATACTCATTTGAGAGTTATCTATGTATTTATAGAACATAAATGTGTCAATAATTTGTTTAGACAGTGAAACATTACCACATATGGAAAAGAGAAGTGAATTAAGGTTTTATTTAATGGTTGACTTGGTCATGTCTTGCACAAGTGATTTTGCTTTGGGTATATCAAGCAAGAAAAATGGAGGCCTGGGTAGATATGGCATTGTTCTGATGAATTGACTCCAATAGGCAAAGGCATTTTACATTTTACCAGTCAGATTGTCACCTAACTTATTTCTGACCATTTGATGTGCATAAATTGTAGCTGAGTCAAGGGAAGATAATTAATTTTTGTAACACTACACCCCTTTCAATGGTCATATGATTTTCTTTTTAATTTTTGTAACAAACAGAACAAAAATTAGATAATTATTATCTGGGTGAGCACAAATAAAGACACCCACATTATTATTATTATTATTATTGCAAATTGAATGGAAATTATTTTATTCTTTTAGCATTTTCATGGTTCTGTACTAATAAAAATCACAATACAATGTATCATTTTTGCCATGTTATAGTAACTCACCTACAAAAAGAAATCAGATCATCATTAGAATATGACTGGGAGTAAGTTTTTCTTGGTTTTCTTTAGTTGAATAAAGTCTGAAAATGGATGAGCTGAAACTTTGAGAAAAAAAACAATAATTGCAATAAAGATAATCTCTCAAAAGTCATTAAATACATCTCATAAAAAATGTCATACACACAAAAACAATGTTTGCTTGTTGTAATGTTCTAATGCAAGATTCTGATAGTTAATCATATGTATTATTTAACAATGTTAATTGTAATGAATTCTATAAAAATATTAAGAAAGTAATACTTACAAATATTAGGGGGTTTAAATCATTTCCTATATGAATAATCAATAAATAAGTTGTATGTAAATAATTATTTCAATTCTTGTTCATAGTTGGGTGTTTGAATGGATGAGCGGCCATGGCTTTCCAGTCAGAAAAATCCCATTTAATGACTGGAAGAACAAGTAAGTGAAATTTAAAATATTTTTAATGACTCAAGAAGATTTTTAATTGCAGAAATGCAGTAAGATTAATTCAATAAAATTACCTCTAGAATGGCCATCCCACAAAAGGAATAAAATTTAAAAAAATCAAAACAGAACTGAACAATTGTAAACCAAAAATAGCCATGACAATAAAAAAATGAAATGCTAATAATTATCGATCATACTTACTTCTTCCGAACTAAGTGTTTTAAAAACTGTTAAATTCTTGTTTGTTTCCTATAAATTACATTCTTTGCTTTCTTCTTGCTTGGCTTAATTCAATATTTTACAAAATTTTTGTTAATTCATTGGCAATCAGATCATTTTAAAGTATGCAGGATTGAAGTATCTCTAATATATATATATATATATATATTGCATGTGTATTAGTATATATAGTTAGCCTGTTTATCCTGATGCTTTGTAAAATTTAAACTATGTATCTCAATCCTTAAAAGGGCAGAAAAATGTCTTAAGCAGATGACAGTTTAGTTTTTCACATGGACTGGATTCTGACTGTTTCCTCTCTTGCTGTCTCTTTATATACAATTTTGAAAGGCTTCAGACGACTTGGCATGAAATTTGGTTCCAGCTAATATCAAAAGTTTTTTCGTCATTTTGATTGGCCGGAATTATTTTATTTATTTTCCAATGTTCCTTTTTCTTTTTTTATAGTGGAAGTTATGTATGGAGCCTCTCTTTTGGTTGATTTCTAGTCACAATAACTAGACCCTGGACTAATGAATTTGTTTCGCAGCAGTTGTTTAGTCTTTTCTTCTTCTTCCTCTTTTTTATATGAGAGTTGACTCCTCATAGAGAGAAATAAAATAAAAAAGAAATATGTTTTTTAAGGAAAGCAAAAGCTTTATTTTAACATTAATCTTTTAATATTTTATTTTCATATTTTATTTTTACATTTGGGTATGCCACAAAACTAAGACCAACATAGTAAACATATAAAATTAGACATAATCAACTTCAAACATTTTTTATGTTTTTATATTGTTTTTTTTTCTCTTCAGGATAAAGGCTGAAAGTGAAAAAGCTGACACTACAAAGCAATTATGGGGACTCATTGAAAATTATGTCAAGTGAGTGAAAATTACATTTATTTTAGTTATTTCACTTTTTTTTATTTTAATACTATATTTTCGATAATATTATTGGTATGTTTGTTGAATGACTGAAAACAAAAAACAGTAAGAAAATAATTTTGTTTAGATTATCAAATTATAGATAATTTCAGATTTTATTATGCAAGTCAATGTTTTCATAATAAAATTGGTAAATTAAACTAAAGTTATTAACATTTTCAGGATATACTTGTATTTATATGAGCAATATATCACATGAGCTTCAGATTATAATATTTATATATATATATATATATATATATATATATATATATATATATATATATATATATATAAAAAAACTTTGTTAATAACTTGTTTATGTCAGGTTTTATTATACAAACCAAATTAGTTTAACATAATTTTTTATTTTGATCCAAAACATATAAGCCAAGGAAACACATATTTGATTAACACAATATTCAACAGACCTGAATAAATTACAGTAGACTGCACAATTGATTCCATCAGAGGAAATGAAAATATACCCAACTTAGCAAATGTCCACCTTAAGAGGAAGTCCAGTTGGACTTTTGGGCTCAAATGAAAAAAAGTTCCACTTAATTAATGTTAAAATACATGGCAAAGCACCCATAAATACAATATAGCCACATGGTTTTAGATTTTGTTTACATATTTTTATCATTTTTTTTAAATTCTAAGTTTTCAAACAAGACATTAGGGTTAAGGTGAAGTGTGTAGAGATTTAGTTAACCAGAGTAGAAAAATACAAAATTAAAAAAATTTTGAGGTAGAGACATGCAATAAGTTTGACATGTAAATCATGGATAACAGAAGAGTCGAACAAAAATTTGCAGCAGCAGCTATTAGAGAGAAAGAAATGGCAGAAAAATGACTACAGATTTATTTATTTATCATCAAAGCTTCATCAAAATTTATATATCATTTTCTTATATGGCTGGCTTCTTATTTCCAACTTCTGTTAGCTCCTCAATACCCACAGAGTCAACTTTATACTGAAACTATGCTAAGAAAACCTTAGTTACAGTTTCTGGAAAAGAATATACAATCTGGAATAATTAGGGGCTGAACAGTGCCAGTAGGTTTGATCATGATGACTTGTGACAACCATCAACTAGCACAACCATTGTCAGTTTCCAAACAGTTTTATCTGCCCAGTTTCACTTTCAAGGCTTAGGCTAACTCCTGATGTGGGTATGGTTATTGGTCACTTCCCAATGGTATTACATGCTGACATTATTTCCTCTGGTGGACAAATCGACCATGATGAGATTTGTATCTGGGGCTCATGGTTAGAACATTAATGCTCTAACCATTTATATATAAAATTGCAAAAATTCTTGCTGACTGAACCAAATTCGAATAATTAAAATCTTTTAAAACCTAGAAATAAGAGAAAACAAACTATCAATGCCAATAATGTGAAGATTGGATTTATTATTATTATCCTTTTGATAATGTAAAAATTCATAATCCTAGTTTCCCTTTATGTTTTTAATAGCATAAGTATCCACCCTTGATTAGCAATTATAAAAAAGCATTGAAACAATAGTACCTTAATTACTCAACAATGTTTTTATAGACAAAAATTTGGTTTACCAATGGGGTCTCCTCTTAGTGGCATTTTGGCTTGTCTATTTTTGGAATTTCTGGAAAGTATTCCTTTCAAAAAAATATTTTACCACAAAATTCTTATTTCAGATGCATAGATGATTCTCTCTTAATATATCCACAAAACATAATTTTACTCAATCTTGTCAATAAAACTAATAACATCAAATCCATAGTAGACTTTTACCTTTGAATCTGAGTCTAACCACTTTACTCTTCCTAGATATCATGCTGCATAGAAATAATAATGAACTTCAGTTTGAGGTTTACAGAAAAGGTAACAACAAGAATGACCTGGTCAATTTTTATTCTCTCCACTGTAACAACATTAAATCTAGAATAATTATAGTATTCTTTTGAAGAGCACTAAGAATCTGCAACCCTCAATACTTACACAAAGAAGAAATATACATAGAAAACACTTTCAAAAACCTCCAATATCCATCCACAATGCTAAGAGAGTCATATGAAATACACATCCAGAAAAAAAGATAACATTACTAACAACAATAAAGTAGATAAAAACAAACACATAATACTACTTATTAACTCCATAACATCCACCATCCAAAAAAATTTATCCAATCTAAACAACATAAAAATAATT